AAAGATCAGTGCAGAAATCAATGCAATAGAGACTAAGAAAGCAATATAAAGAATTAATGAACAAAAGATTTGGTTTTTTGAAACAATAAATAAAATCAATAAGCCACTAGCCAATCTTATTTTTAAAAGGAAAGAAACACTCAAATTCAGACAATAAGGAATAAAAAGTTTGAAATCTCTACAGAAATACAGAAGATCATCAATATATACTTTGAAAACCTTTGCTCTCATAGGTTTGATAACAGAAGAAATGGACAGATTCCTAGAAACATATGAATTACAAAGGCAAATCAAGAAGATGTAAATCTGCTGAATAACCCAATTTCAGTTCATGACTTTAAAAATGTAATTAGAACCTTACCAACAAAAAAAAAGCCCAGGTCTGAATGGATTTACAGCTGAATTCTATGAGAAATTCAAGGAAGACAATGCCAACACTTTTCAAAGCCTTCAAAGAAAGTGAAAGGGAAGCAATTCTCCCTAATTCATTGTTAGAAGAAGTATTACCATAATACCTAAACCAGAGAAATACCCAACTAAAAAAGAAAACTACAGGCCAGTGTCCCTACTGAACACAGATGCAAAAATCCTCAGTAAAATACTGGCAAACAGAATGCAGCAAGTTATCAAGTAGATTATACACCAGAACCAAGGGGGATCCATCCCGGGAATGCAGGGACAGTTCAACACACACAAATCAATAAGCATAATACTTCATATCAATAGAGCCAAAGATAAGAATCACATGATTATCTCAATAGATGCAGAAAAAGTTTTAACGAAGTCCAAAAATCATTCGTGATAAGAACCCCATGGAAAATCAGAACAGATTTTCTTGAATCCAATAAAAGCCATCTATGACAAACCAACAGCCAGCATCATATTAAATGCTCAAAAATTGAAAGCTTTCACTCTAAAATCAGGAACAAGACAAAGCCATCCACTATCACCAATCCCAGTATAGTGCTGGGAATATTAGCCAGAGCAGTTAGACAAGAGAGAGAAATAAATGGAATAAACATAGGAAAGGAAGAGGTTAAACTATCATTATTTGAAGATGACATGATACTCTATATAGAAGACCATAAAAATCCTATAGAAAAACTTCTAGATATAATAACCAAATTCAGTAATGTAGTTGGATACAAAATCAACACTGAAAAATTAACATCATCCCTCTACACAATATACTCACTGAGAGGGAAACAAGAGAAACCACAACCTTCACAGTAGCATCCAAAAAAATGAAAATCTTAGGAATCCATCTACCAAAGAAAATAAAAGATCTATTCAGTGAAAATTACAGTACCCTAAAAGAAAAAAAAAAAGAAATCAAAGAGGATCTCAGAAATTTGAAAGACATTCCTTGTTCATGGATAGGAAGAACAAACGTAAAAATGGCCATTCTCTCAAAATTGTTATACACATTTATTATGCACATTTAATGCAATTCCAATCAAAATATCATTAGTGTGTTTCATAGATCTAGAGAAATCATTCCTAAAATTAATCTAGAAGCACAAGTGATGTGGAAGAGTAAAGGCAATTCTGAGGAGCAAAGGCAAGGCAGGAGGCATCACAATCTGAATTGAAGTTATACTACAAAGTTACCATGATAAAATAAGTATGGTACAGAAATAAAAACAGACCTGAAGATCAATGGAATAGACTAGAAGATAAATCACAACTCAGCAGCCTTATCTTTGACAAAGGGACCAAACATGTACACCGGAAGAAAGTTAGCCTCCTTAATAAGTGATGCTGGAAAACTGGCTCTCCAGAGTCAACAAAGGTGGCAGAACAATAAGCAGCAGAATAAACAGCCTCTCTGGTAAAACAAACAAACAAACAAACAAACAAACAAACAAAAAAAACTGCCGATGCTGGAACATGGCATTCTGGAAAAGACAAGAAGGAAGGAAGTGGGTCCCTTCAACCCAGAAAGAAACTAAAGTGAGAACTGAAGCCCACATAGAGAATAAAAAAAAAGAAGAACCAAAACAAAAGAAGGGAGGAGTTGGCAGCACTTTCAATGGAACCATTTACCACCATATGAGAAGTGCGTTAGAACCTGGAGACACAGTCACAGTGAAGCCAGTGGTTAGAAAGCCCGAAGGACTCTCCGGAGACATGGTGGCAGAGGGGAGCAACGTACCAGAGAACTGTACTGGCTGGCAGTGAGTTTGGGGGATTTAGTCTTTCTGTGGGAGTGGGCAATTAGCCAGGGGCCATTTTGGAATCAGGCAGGATAAGCCCGGAGCCAGAACTGCAGTTGGCTTCATTCAGCCACTCCTAGTTTGTAGCAGACTGGTGAGAATTGCTTGGACTGAGTCCTACCTCTGTGTACGGTCCAACAGCTACCACCAAAGTTTCCCTAAAGCTATCTCCAACCAGCATCACCCACCCTGCACATACTATTGTAGTGAAGACTCCCTGCAGTTGACCAGCTCCGATAGGAGGGGTCAGCCTACCCCATCCCTGCTAACACTCCAGTAGCCACCAGCAGGCTGGGAAAGGCAGCAAACAGTAGAAATCCCTAGCCAGCATGCTTCAGAGTAATTATACACAATAGAGTAAGTGCCAGGAACCCCACTACCCACTTGTCTGGAAGAAACCAGGAAACAAGATGTTTCTATGACAAAGAGGAACTGGGAGAGTTCATGACCACCAAACCAACCCTACAAAAAAATACTGAAGGACATTCAACAGAGAGAGAGAAAAGCCCATGGTTTCAGGAACAGTGGCAGAGGGCACTCAATGAATGGGGCAGACAGTGGAAAGAAGCAGAAAAGTAGACAACCAAAGGCAGAAAAATAGCATGGGAGAGAAGAGGCAGAGGTTAGCTATAACCACTAGTAAATATGGCCTCAATTCACTAATAAAAAGAAACACAGCCAGAGTGGATAAGGTACATCAATATGCTTTGTATAAGAAATACATTTAACTCAAAAGGAGATTTCTAGACTGAAAGTCAAAGATGAGAAAACAGTGCTCTATGTAACAGGGAACCAGGAAAAAAGTGGGGGTAGGTTGCCTATCAGCTACAGATAGGTTATGAAACCATGACACATTTATACAATAGAAAACTCCTCAGCTATAAGAAAGAAAACCTTGAGGCTCTTGTAGACAAATGGATACACCTTGAGATCATGCTCAGGGATACAAAGGTTCACAATCACTTAGGTGAATAGTGGGTTATCTTCCTAGTATAAAACCTAAAGGAATTAGTGGGATCCAAAATGTACAATACACCTCATGAAAGTGAAAGGGGAGGAATTGTATAAAAAGGAAAGGCAGTGGCAACTATTAATCTATTATCGTAATTTGAAACCCATATTTTTTCATTGTTTTGTTTAGATTGGTTTTACCCTGTTTCAGTTTGTCTACTTGTATTGATGGCATGGGCAGCTATTCCAAAGATAGCAGGATATACTATGGTAACCACTTTTGATTTTCTATAGGATTGATATGAAGCCTTGTATTGCTTTCACTTTTTTATTTTGACTAATTTCATTCTATTCTGTTTTTTTGAAAGTATCAAGTCTGATGGCATAGGAAACTCCTTTAAGACAACAAGATACACTATGAAACCAATTCTGGTTGGACTATTATCTTCTTTTGAAGTCCTATAATGTCTCTAAAGTTTTGTTTTTATTGATTTTCTTCAGTACTGTTTTGTTCAATTTTATAATGCCTGATGAGATGGGCAATTCTTTTAAAGATAACAAGAGGCATCATGGTAGCCATTATTGATCTCCTTATATATTTTTTAAGTCATGTTCTGTGTGGATCCTTCTGTTTTGATTGACTCTATTTTGTTTTGTCTCATTTGGTCTTATTCTCTTCAAAATAAAAAAGAGTAACACTGGTTCTCCATATGCTGAAAACTAAAACTAGATGCATGCCTATCACCATGCACTAACCTAAAGTCAAAATGGATCAAAGATCTAAATATTAAAACAGAAACACTAAATATGCTGGAAGACAAATTAGGTTGAAATATTGATGATATAGAGCTTGGCAGACAATTTAAGAACAAAAATGATACTGCACGGGAAATACTTCCCAGAATCAACAACTGGAATCTCACCTTATTAGAAAGGTTTTGCATGTCAAAAGAAATCTCAAGGAGAATGAAAGGAAAATCCACAAATTGGGAAAAAATCTTAGCCAACTCCCTCAGACTTCTATCCAGAACATGTAAGGAATTTTTAAAAATCAGGTACCCAAATTTCAAAGACCCAATCCAAAATAGGAATCTGAGATGAATACATGCTTCTCAGATGAAGAAACACAAATGGAAAATAAATACATTTAAAAATCTTCAACATCATGGTCATGAGAGAAATGCAAGTTAAAACAACACTGAAATTCCATCTCAATCCAGAAAGAATAGCCAGGATCATAAAAATCACCAATAACAAATGCTGGAGAGGCTGTGGGGGAAAAAGAACACTTCTGTACACTTCTGTACTGAGAGTGTAGACTGGTGCAACCACTGTGGAAATCTGTGTGAAGGTTCATCAGAAATCTGGGATTGAAGGTCCAATTTGACCCAGCTATGCTGCTTCTTTGCATATTCCCATGTAAGGTGAAAACATCATATCACAGTGATATATGTAGACCCACGTATACAGCAGCACAATTTGTAATAGCTAAATCTTGGAAATGGCCAAAATGCCCACCAACTGAGGAATGAATAAAAAAGATGAGGGTTTTTTTTTATACAATGGAGTACTACTCAGCTATAAAGAAAGACCACATTGAGGCTTTTGTAAGTAAATGGATGAGTTGAGATCATGCTCATAAGAGAAATAAATCAAACTCACATTTGTAAATACAGTATTAGCTCCCTTCTGTAAGAAACTGAAAGAGTAAATACAATGCAAAAGATTCAATAAATATTGTGACAGGGTAAAGAACTGCTCAGAGGAATAAGTAAGTCAAACAGGGAAAAGGAAAAAAGAAGGAAGAGAAATGTAACAATATTAAATTCGTGCAAGCAACACTCTGACAGATTATCAAAGTAGTCTGTCACAATTTGAGTTTATAGCAAGAAAGTCTAACCTATTCTAACACTCTCCTTTCTGTGAGACAGGCCATTACATAGACTGAAACAAGTTAGAAAAAAAGAAATAATATTAAATTCATATATGTACACTTAAGATTACTAAGACGATTATACTGCTAATTCTATTAGCTCTTGGAACAAAACAGATAACATCTGGAGGATTAGATCAATTTTGCATAACTATATCTGGTAATTCAAATAAGACTTATGAAGACAACTATGCAAAACAACAAAAATTGCGATGTTCCTATCACTGTTTTGAAAGCCCACATTGTTATTGTTTTTGGCTCTTACTTATAATGCTTTTATTCTTGGTTTTGACTGGTTTTATTCTGTTATCAATTATTTGACTTCAATATGTGTGAATGTATGGACAGCTATTTTGAAGAAAACAAGAGACAATATGGTAGCCACTATTGATTTCCTATTGTCTGGTTTTGAAAACCTCTCATTCTTTTTTCTGACTGTTTTTATACTATTTTGTTTTGTATTAACTTATTGTGTATGAAGGTATGGACAACTATTTTGAAGAAAACAAGAGACATTATGGTAGTCACTGTTGATTTCCTGCTGTCATTTTCTGAAATCCTGTTTTATTTGCATTGCTTTACTGTGCCCCACTTTGTTCTGTTTTGTTTTGTTTTATCGTTTTTAAAATACAAAAATTAAAAACTAAAAATAAAAATGTGTGATGATAAAAATCAATGGCATTCTTGCACAGAAACAACAAACTCACTGAGAGAGAAATTGTGGAATAACAGTTTTCATAGTAAAATCCAAAAAAAATTAAATACTTAGGAATCAGTCTGACAAAGAGTATGAAAAATCTTTGTGTTGAATATCATGGTACTCAAAAAATTAAATTGAAGAGGATATCAGAAGATGCAAAGATATCACTTGCTCTTGGATAGGAAGAGCAAACATGAAAATGGCCATACTCTCAAAACTGTGATACAGATTTAATGCAATTTGGATCAAAATGCCACTAGTGCGCCTCATGGATCTAGAGAAGACATTTCTAAATTTCATTTGGAAACAGAAAGGACCTAGAATAGCCAGGGCAATCCTAGGCAAAAATGGTAAGACAGGAGGCATCACAATCTTAAAATTATACTACAGACTTAAAATTATACTACAAGGCTACTGTGATAAAATCAGCATGATATTGGGGGTGTAAGACCGGTGTCGTGGAGGAGACTCCAAGGACTCCACTCTCATGTAAGAACAAAGGGGTCTTTATTATTCCGAGCGCATGGGGTCCTCCAAACAGGTGGAAACGGAGAACCCCGAGTTGGGGCAAGGCTGGTGCTTTTAAGGGGGAAAAAACCACAATGCAAGCATTTTTTACAGAAGCCAATCATAGCAGTTAGAGCGGGATAGTCGGCAGTCTATCTATTTGTGGTTGGTTAGCTCATAAGGGGTGACCAGTGGGTCAGAGTTAATTAACTGTCTTGTTCTGCACAACTTATCTTTAGGACACCTGGTTTCTGTATGGTTCGAGTTTGACAAGCTTTACAACCCTGATTAGCGTAATCGGCAGGCTCTATCTCTGAGTTCCCTGGCACAGCACAGCCCGAGCATATCACAGCTGCAGATGTTTTCTTTTTGATCCTCCCTCGGGGCTGAGTTTGGACTAAGTCATGAAGCCCAGTGCTGTTTCTAGCTGAGAAACAGCATCTTGTTTTTAACCTTTAAATTTCTGGTCCTTCAGGGGAAAAACTGACTTCAGCATCAATGGAACAGATTAGAAAATGAAGATGCAACTCCAAACATGCTAAACCACCTTATCTTCCATAATGGAGCCAAACAGGTACACTGGAAGAAAGTCTCTTTATTAAAAGGTACCTGGCCGGTAACCTGCTGTAAAGTTCTATACTAATTTCATTGTACCATCTTAGTTGGCTTTATTCTGTCTTGTTCTGTTGTATACTTTCAAAATAAAATTTAAAAAAAAATTTTTTTTTAAAAAGATACCTCAGAAACTATCACAAAGAATCAGCAACTGGGATCTAATCCTATAGAATAACTTTTTCACAGGATGAGAAACCACCAACAGAGTGAAGACACAACCCACAATGTAAGAGAAAATGTTTGCCAGCTGTACCTCAAAGATTACTGTCAAGAACATATAGAGAGATTATTCACCCACCCTCTTGGTAAGCATCTGCAACGTGGGCCAGGAGGAGAACAGAGCTCCAGACTTCCGGCCATGGAGGGATTCAGGCAGCTTATTCACCCGCCCTCTTGGTAAGCATTTGCAACGTGGGCCAGGAGAACAGAGCTCCAGAGCTCTGGTCATGGAGGGACTCAGGCAGCTTATTCACCTGCCCTCTTGATAAGCACCTGCAGCTTGGGCCTGGAGGAGAACCATTACCTGTGAGCCAACTTCCACATGAGCTGAAAATCAAGCATCCTTCTCCCCCCTCCCCCCTCCCCCCTTACCTACTGGGGATAGATATTTCAACATCTCTTGCGAGGATGACCATATGCAGCATAGCAAATATGGGGGATTTCCTTCTATCTTCTGTTTGAAGGCATAGGTTGTTTTCACTTTTTGTTATATTTCTTTTGCTCTATTCAGTATTCTCAATTGGTTTTACAATGTTCTATTTTTGGTTTGATTTTACAATACGTAAGTGACTCAATAGCTATTGTTAAATTAAAGAGATATACCATAGTACTTAGTACTACTATCCCAGTATCCTACTGTGAAATCCTGTACCAATTTCACTGCATTGTCTTGATTGGCTTTGTCCTGTCTTGCACTGTTGCATATTTGCTACTCTCAAAATTAAAAAAAAAAAAAAAAGTACATGTTAAGACCCATGCATATGTAGAATCTATAAACAGTTTATGAGAACTGATCTTATGACAATTGATGAAATGAACAGATATTTTGAAGAAAATGAGACACTAAAATACCCAGTGCTGATCCTGGAGTGTCATAATGTGAAACCCAGCAATAGTGTTATTCTTTGTTCAGAGTAATATTAACCTGCTTGGATTTATTGAAAGTCAACATAATTGAAGATATAGGTAACTGCATATATGTTTAAGTGTAGAGGATTGATAACCATATTTCTAAGTTTTTGTTGGATAGCTGAACAGAACTGTTTGCAATCACACTGTTTGAATCCCCACTTTATATGCTCTAATTTAGTATCTTAAAGAACTATTTGTAAGAAGACAATCTGTAATCATCAATTAGTGATTTCTGTTTATTTTTCTTTGAAATTATGTATTATTTCTACCCGTTTTCTGTATTTTAAGTCTTTCTTTAAATTCAGTTTTAAAAAGAAGACACTACAGTACCCAGTGCTGATCAGAGAGTGTCATGATGTGAAATCCAGCAATACTATTATTCTTTGTTCAAAATGATTTTAACCTGCTTTAGTTTGTTTAATCTAAACATAAATGAAAATATGGATAACTGTGTGTATATTTGAATGTATAGGATTGACAACCATGTTACTAAGTTTTTGTTGGACAGTTGATTAGAACTTTTTGCAGTCTCTCTGTTTGAATTCCCACTTTCATGTTCCATTTTTGTACCTTGAACAACTATTTGTAAAACGACAACATCAACTAGTGATTTCTTACTCTTTTTTTCTCTGAATGTATGTACTATTTCTACCTATTTTCTGTTTTGTTTACTCTTTCTTTAAATACAAAAAGAACATATAGAGACCTCAAAAACTCAGCCATCTAAGATTTAAAGATCCAATCCAAAAAAGTGCATCTGATTTGAAAACACACTTTTCAGATGAAGAAATACAAACAGCAAATAAATACATGAAAAACTGTTCAACCTCACTGGTCATTTGAAAGATTCAAATTAAAACAGCACTGAGATCCCACCTCACCCCAGAAATATGGATATTGTCAAAAAATCGAGCAATAATAAAAGCTGGAGGATAGTAACCCTTCTCCAGTGTTGGTGGGAATGCAGACTGGTGCAACCACTGGGGAAATCAGTGTGTAGATACCTCAAAATGCAGGACTAAGGGGTCCATTGGACCCAGCTATTCTCCTTCTGGTTATTTTCCCAAAAGAATTAAAAACATCATACCACAATGAGATATGTGCACTCATTTTTTAAAATGATGAGGACATTTCATTATTGATTTAGATGTGAAACTCTCACAGTAAATTCTTACAAGGTGGAGTATATTGACAAACTATTTCTCCCACAGAACTATAAACATGCAGACAGTATAAATACATGGTTGAACTATTAATACATTTCACCATTTCATAAATTCCATAATAAAGCAGAGTATCAAGTATTCAGTATTTTTACACAGCTCAAAAGTCATAAAATGTTAAATATATAGTCTGGGTTTTTTTTCAGAGATTCACTTGTTTTGAGAGTTTTAGAAGAGAGGGGAAAAATCATATTTCAAACAAAAATAAGTTGAACATGTAAGAATTTCAGAAAAATTTTGGTTAAGAATTGTTTTAGGTATGACAAGGGATTTTTACCTTTAAAAAGATTTTATTTTCCACAAGACAAAAGTTGCGTTTTACTATTTAATACCCCCCATTAATTTTATAGGTTCTCCCTACTAGGGTGCACCTCAAAATGCAAACAGATTAACCCTGTAACTTTTTGTCTGGAAACATTAAAGACATGCTCCTGTAACAGTGTAGATTATGAAAGTGGAGATTTCCATAACCACACAAAAGAACGCTTACAGAAAGTCATTAAATGATCATCATAAAAGTTGGTATAATTATAGAGAAAAAAATCATGGCTGGTGATATATATGGTTTAGTGGTAGAATTTTGGCCTAGCATGTGCAAAGTCCCATATTCAATTCCAGGCACATACACAAAAAGAAGTTATATGATAAATATATACAGTTTCTGGTTGTGGTGGTTTGTGCCTGCAATCCCAGGTTTTGGAAGCTTAAGGTAGACTTGTAAGTTCAAAACCAACCTGCACTACATAGGGCTGTCCCCTCCCCAATCAGTGGTTAAGCAAATCTGATGATAGTGATATAAATGTAGTAATGTAAAAACAAAACCTGTAGGTATATAACCGTATGTT